ATCAAGGCACTCGCTTCACAACATAGGAATAAACAGCACACTTGAGACCATCAACATTGTAGTTGTTCGTACCAAGTTGCCTTCTGCTCTATGAACTCTTGTTTTTGCCAAGCATCTGTTCTATACAAACAATATGACAATCTGTTTGAACTCGGAGAAGGCTGAGAGATTTGGTTCGGCTTTAGTGTGTGGAGGCTTCTTGTGCCGAAACTACACTCAATGGTCTTCGATGTTGTGCAAGTGGGAACGCTTTGTTTAGCCAGTATCATTTACTGGTACAGTACACTGGAAAAGCTGAAGGATACGACTGATAAATAGAACCCTGCGAATTCCAATGAAAAATTGGCTGCGTAACAATGCCTTCACAAAGTAACTACATACGGTAACACAAGTTATTTTGTTTTTGGATTTCAACACCAAAAAACACAAGGAAAACCAAAACAAACATATTTCGAGGCTGAACCAAACATTCTCCTCAAAGTGTTGTTCATTGTTTTTTGCTTTGTCTGTGTTTTGGTCCTTTGGGCTTTTGCACAACCTGTATAATTTTTTTTCGAAGGTGATTTAGAATTGAGTTGAAATATAATCAAACTTTCATTTATTTCCAATGAACTTCAAATTTAGATCTAATTCAATTCTATCTTAAGTGTTATACAATTTTAGCTATTTTAAAAAAACAAAATTGATCTGAATTCATCAAAAAGTTGACCGTCTAATTATAATCTAATTCTATTGAACTCTAATTTAACTATTATTTAAGTCTAACTTAATTCCAAATTTTGAATTTCAAATTCGATTTTGAACCTGATTGAGTTTAAATTTGAATCTATACTACTGTCTAATGACTTAGGCCAACGTGATGCAAGTGACATACCAATCTGGCTACCCTCAGGGCTAAGTCATGTGCTCTGACATATCGAGCAAAAAATAATGTCTGGTTGGGAAACCTGGTGTCATAGGACCTGTGGACACCTCCTCGACAAAAAAAACAGCTAAAATAATGCTAGATACCACTGCCTGGCACCCTGGTGACATAGGGTGCGACTATGTGTTTTTGCGGGCGCTGCTTCCTTGAATACCTCATACATATTTCTATGAATTTGATGGTTGTGGCCTGATGACATAGGCCTTAAGAGGAAATGCCAATGTTGGATCAATCCTGATGACATAGGCTTTTGGAATTGGCGTGTATGTCCGACAAGTCCTAAGTTACTAGTCAGTAGTATAGTTGATTTCTAATTTAAGTTCAATTTCAATATCCAATTTGATTTTAATCTAATTCTAACTGAATTTGACTGAATTTGAATGCAGTCCTAATTTAGTTCTATTGTAAATGTTATTTTAACTTTAATTAGCATTCAAGTCTAATTCTTATTGATTATTGCAGCAAGTAAATTCTAATCGAGCTGCAGGTTAAGCAATTCTGTTTCAATTCTATCGTAATTCTAACACAATTCTATTTGAAACAATGAAATGTTGATTCAATCATCGTTTAATTCCAATTCAAGTCTAACTTAAGTCTAATTTGCTTTTAATTTATCTCGAAGTTAGTCCTAATTTAGTTTTATGTTAATTTAAATTTGGTTTTGCTTATATTTAATTTGATTATACTTCAATTTATTGTATTTAATTGTTCGTTTCAGCTAGTTTAAATCATATACAATTCAATTTCAGTTGTTTACATTTCTAGTCTAATTCTATGTTGATTTCCAATTTAATTTTGATTAATCCTAATCTAATTTTAATTCAATTCTAGTTCAATGCAAATCTATTTCTGATTCAATGGACATTGAATTATCATTTAAATCTGACTTTATTCTAGAGAGAGGTTTTGCTGCTGGTGGTGTGATTTTAAGAAAACAACCTTTAAGGAAGGCAACGCATAAATTATATACAAAGCGTTCACTTTAAAGCAACACGCACTCTCTAGAAGCAAATTAGAATTGCATAAAAGCAACGATTAGATTAGAAAAAGAATAGAGTTATATTCGATGTAAACATAAACTGCATAGAAATTACATTGAAAAAACGTAAAAATTACATAGAAACACATTTGCATTGAATTCCAATTATATAAAATAGATTATATATTGAAGTTACTCAACATTAAATTTGATTTGAATGATAATTGAAATCCTAAATGACCTAATTCTAATTCAATTCTAATTGAATTCTAATTAAATTCAAATTCACATCTATTTAATTCAGCCATGTGCTAGGCTGCTGGGCCTGGCAGTTTTTTTTCATTGATAGTTCTTTATTCTTTTGTGCTGTCCTGCCTGCCTACCTGGCTGTCTTGGTGAACCTTGCGGCGGTTAAATGCTGAGAACCCGCGCTTGGCTGCATTCAAAATGGTATCGGTATAGGTGCTTGGCTCTCAGCATAGTCTGGCTGACTTATGTACATACCTTGATTTGTGCCAGGACACTCACAGCTGTATCCGCAGAAAGGGATGCCAAACCAGCTCATGGCCTACAGGCGGAGACAGTGCCAGGAGACGTATGGGCTGTGAAACTGGCAAGGGTCCCAAAAGTCGTCTGCATATCAAGTTCTCAACATGAAATCAATCTGAGGCTTTCTTCGCCTTTTTCGCCGCCATGCTTGGGTTGCATGCTTTTCTACTCACAACTCTTCGCAAAGAAGTACTCCGTTTTTATTCGTCCTCAGATCCAGAATGCATCAGAATGTATTTTGTGAAGTCTGTGAACTTGGAGAGTTTTTTGCAATCTCATCGAAGTAACACAAACACGAACATACAGGGCCTACAATGTAGGGTAAGGTCTCTTTACTTTCGTGAGTTCACTCTGGTTTGTCCTGCGTAGGCAGGCCAGGTGCATATTGAAATTGGACCATTACTAAACAGCACAACCGACACTCATAAACAACCTAGTTTAGGAAACTTTCTAGCCGCCTCATCTGAGGAACGAGTGCGCGTTCAAAGACATGAGCCCGTTGCTCTGACATGCCAGCGCATGTCAAACACTATTTGTGAAGTTTTTTTTCATGCTTTTGCATTCATGTCCAATGACAAACGTACAAACATAGCCAAGCTTGGCGTTATGTGTGAGAATCAACTCCCCACCAAACTGTTTTGATGGTAGGTAGGTGTTTAATCTCAAAAAGCATGTATGAAGAAAATGCAAGAAGGCTGTTAGCAGCGACAACCAAGGCCGTCAAGACTCCATTGTAGAGAGTCCAGCATTCGCAACACGGATCACACAAAACACAAATGCCACAAGTAAACCATCCTGCAGGGACAGCGTAATAGTGCAATCTGAAGTCAATCAAAGGTCTCTCGCTGAACCTTCAGCACTAAAAACATAGAAAACACAATTTCTTGGACTTGGCAAACGTCCATTTCCTTGCTCAGGTTTGTGTCCAACTATCTGACAGGCTGCGAAGACAGTTACAACATTAAATCCTCAAAATATATATACATATATATATATATTTATGCTTCTTCATCTCCTACCATGTTAAGTACATAACAGTTTGCTTGCAGGGTACGTCAAGCTGTTTCAATCATTCCCTGCGCAACACGAGCTCCTTCTGCCCTGGTGGGCGTATTGCGGCAGTGCTTGGGGTCGAAGGAAGACGGCGTATAGTCAGAGATGCAGGTAGGGAGGTCATCTGTGAGGCCTCAAACAGTTGCGTGTTGAAAAACGGAAAGGCTATATACAGTAATTTGTTGGGGTCCTCAACGAAAGAACCTCTCAAACTGCTCATTCAGCATGAGCCACTTTCTCTCATGCATTGCAAAGGTGTGCTGCTGATGAAGGGGAGACAGAAAACATGGCAAACCCTTTTCTGTCTACTGCGAGATCAGCAATGATAGGTCAGCAACCGAGCAGCCACGAGCGGTCGGAGTTTTGTAGAGCATGTCCAGCACCTCCTAGCAGGGTCACATTAAACTTATTTTTTTGACAACTAGGCCCACTAGATCAAAACAATGGGATCAATAACTCTGGTTGGCCAGCAGGATATCGTTACCGCTCCCGCAGGTTTGATATTATTGTTTTGGCATGGTGTAGCTTGAGTTGGGCTATCAAGTGTAATGCTTGACTTGCCAGCCGCCACTGGGAACCCATAACTGTTGGACAGCAATCTGAAGTTTCCTCTGGTTCGCGCCGACCGGGGAATTACAAGCCTTCTTTGCATCAGCAACCACTCAAGATGCTAGTGCAGAAAGTTCAGAAAGCCTCCCCACCTGATCTGGCTGCTCGGCTGTGATGAAATCCTTTACACCCTTCTTCACCTGCGAACAAAGACACAAAGAAGGCCCCAGTCTTTGGCAGCCCGAAAAACAACTTGTTCCCCAAATAGTGTGGTCTCACTAAGGGCTCCTACGGTAGTTCCCCAAACACTGTGGCCACTGGGGGTTCTTACGGTGAGTGTTAAGGCCGGGTGTGTGATCGAGGTGCTCGCATCCGTGTCCGGCCAATTCGCCGCTATTTATGGTGCACTCATTCACCTCGACATTTCGATGGAGCAGGCTCGCAGAAACTGCTGGGCTGGAAGCGGGCGCTTTCCTAAACTGCGCTCTCGTTGTGGTGCCGTGCACGTTTTCGGACTTGGTGGTCATTTTTTGTGGCAGGCACAGTCTAAAGTCAACTTTTCGTGGCAGGTGCAGGAGATCGGGGTGGTTTTACTTCGATGTGCTGATTTCGTGACAGGCGCAGTGCTTTGAACAGCCGTCTGGACACTCAGTAGGGCTGAGCCGGTATGTTTGCAAATCAGCGAACTTGTTGGTCATGGTGTTGAAGACGAACTATTTCGGAACTGCTGGTGGAAGAAAGACCCCGTGGTGATGGACGATGAGAAGGCAGAAGTGGCTGCCAAGCGGGTATGGTTTAAAACACAAACTCATGTACTCTAATGTTGACTCTTGATTTATAAACTCCCCCCCCTCCCTCAACAGCCAAGGCCTCCAAAATAATGTATAAGAAAATCAATCAGTTGATAATTAAATAAGGAATCCTTAGCTAGCTACCTCTGGAGCTACTCTGGCAATATTAAAATAAAAGGACTCAAGAAACCTAACTTTGAAGACATCTGAAATATTAATTACAATAAAAGGGAATGAATCAATGCAAATAGAACTAATTTTTAAATTTCAATGGAAATCTAAATCCAAAGACCTGCAATTTCAATGGTAATTAAAGCAAATCAAAAGGCAAAGAAAAGGAATAACGATTTAAAGCCTCAAATCTCTAGACACTATTCTAGGGGCCCCCCCTAAATAATGTCAGAAAGCTGCTTGCTGGAACTACCCCCTTTGCTTGAATGTTTTTTGTTTTTCAATACTTTCGAATATATAAGGAATTTTATAAAGAAAGTGCGCACTGACTTTTGGAAACTTTTGGAAAGCTTCAACACTAAAGAGCTTAGGAAAAGTAAACTTGTGGCAAATAGACAATGCTGGTGCTCTTTAGGCAGCAAAAGCCTGGCCGGGAATCGCAACATGCCATGGCCAAGGGAAAAGGAGAGTGCCAACAGCGCCCCCCCAATACGACCCCAACACAGCCAACACATGGCAACACACAACCACCCCAGCAACCGCCGCAGCAGCAGCAGCAGCAGCAGCAACAGCCACAACAACAATAACTGTAACCAGCAGCGGGAGCGGCAACAAGCAGAAGCTACCAAGCAGCAGCAGAAGCAGCAGCAGGAGTAGCTAGCAAGTAGCAGCACCAGCTACCAAGCAGCAGCAGCAGCAGCAGCTACCAAGCAGCAGCAGCAGCAGCAGCAGCAGCAGCAGCTACCAAGCAGCAGCAAGCAGCATCAGCTACCAAGCAGCAGCAGCAGCAGTAGCAGCAGCAGCAGCAGCTACCAAGCAGCAGCTACCAGGCAGCAGCAGCATCAGCAGCAGCTACCAAGCAGCAGCAGCAGCAGCAGCAGCAGCATCAGCAGGAGCCACCAAGCAGCAGCAGCATCAGCAGCAGCTACCAAGCAGCAGCAGCATCAGCAGCAGCTACAAGCAGCAGCAGCAGCAGCCCAGCAGCAGCCAAGCAGCAGCAGCAGGAGCAGCCAAGCAGCAGCAGCAGCAGCCAAGCAGCAGCAGCAGCAGCAGCTACCAAGCAGCATGGGAAGCCTACCGACGTAGAAGCACATCCACCGTCATCCTCTCGTCTAGTGATAATGGCGAGAGCTTGCTACATCAGTTCGCCACTCACCTGCAAAGCTGGTGGATGTCTGGAGTGAAGAGATTCCCTTCGTGGAGTGGTTTTCTCACCTGCTCCCTGCGCTCCTTAAGCCAAGTGCTGTGGAGGGCGAGCAGTCCCTAGTCTAATGCAACGCTGCAACGACTCCACTCATACAGAAGCACTCCCGTGGCCATTCAGGGCCACCATATAGGGCAGTGCACCGCTGGTAGCAAGCAGAGTGCACATAGCAGCAGTGCCGAATTGAAAGCTCCACATCAAAATGAGTGGCTGTCATGGTGTCCCTCCCTCAGACTCCTGGCAGGCAATTTTTCGTCACCTGCTTCTGACTGGGGAGAGACTGCTACTCGGGCGCAGCGCCCTACTGTTCTCATCAGCAGCAGCTACCAAGCAGCAGCAGCAGCAGCAGCAGCAGCAGCAGCTACCAAGCAGCAGCAGCAGCAGCAGCAGCAGCTACCCAGCATCAACAGCAGCTACCAAGCTCCTGCTGCTCCAACAGCAGCTGCCAAGCAGACCAAGCAGCAGCAGCATCAACAGCAGCTACCAAGCTCCTGCTGCTGCAACAGCAGCTACCAAGCTTGCGCTGCTGCAACAGCAGCAGTATCAGCAGCAGCAGCAGCAGCAGGAGCAGCTACCAAGCAGCAGCAGCATCAGCAGCAGCTACCAAGCAGCAGCAGCATCAGCAGCAGCTACCAAGCAGCAGCAGCATCAACAGCAGCTACCAGCAGCAGCAGTAAGCAGCAGCAGCTACCAAGCAGCACCACCAGCTACCAAGCAGCGGCAGCAGCAGCAGCAGCAGCTACCAAACAGCATCACCAGCTACCCAGCAGCAGCAGCAGCAGCAGCAGCTACCAAGCAGCAGCACCAGCTACCAAGCAGCAGCAGCAGCAGCAGGGAAAGAGTGAGCTTTCCCTAGGGTCTTTCGTGCCCCAACATTTGGTCTCGAACAATAGCACATATAGGTGCTGCCTGAGTAAGTGTAGAAGGGCGACGTGGAAAGACAGATATATCTGATATATCTGGTTTTTAACGAATAAATGCTGACGATGCAGCCAGCAGCGGTGTGCATGATTGACATCTAGGGGTTGTATGCGAACATGTGTCAGCGACCGAAGACTCCGTCGCAACGCTTGTGCATGCTCCCTGTCGCTCGAACATGGAACGCGGACTACCATGAGTGAAGCAAACAGCCCGTTCAAACATCTGACTGGGTTCTGTCATTCATGTGTGAAGTAAGTATCATCTTTTGATCTGCATGGATAGCGGATAGTGCATTCTGATTTGTACTCTTGGGTTGTGGGGTGGGTACATGCCTGTACAAGCTTCTTAAGGATATAATGAAATTAGCATCGTTTCACGACTCAGAGGGAATGCAACTACTCTCGATTCTAACGAATAGGCTTTCTTCAGCACCAACAGCAGCCAACAACCCCAAACAGCAACAGCAGCAAAACGGAGCAGACAACAAGCAGCAGGCAGCCATGCAAGCAGCAAGCAGCAGCAACCAGCAAGCAGCCAAGAGCATCCAGCAGCACCAAGCATGCAAGCAGCAGCAAGCAGCCAAGAGCCAGGCGCTGATGAGATGCCAGCAGCAGCAGCAGCAGCGACCAAGCAGCAGCAGCAGCAAGTACCGACCGAGGAGGAGAAGGGTGGAGTTGAACCCCGCGAGGGGGGGGGGTGTAGTCCTGATATATCAGGTGAAAGCACTCAAGTCCTGGGCTCCCACCCTCCTTGCTAAAGCAAGACAGACTCCAGCTAGCTACAGCTAGCTTTCGTGATAAGGAATAGAGGGTGAGTAAAGCAAATCAAAAGGCAAAGAAAAGG